GTCATGTTCAAGTGGATTTTGCAACTCAAAAAAAACCACGCAAATCTAAAACTTCTTGAATTCAAGCATTTTTTGAGAAAACTGCAACATTTCCTCATCGATGGTTCACTTTCTAAAAAGGCCATTTAGTTCTCTTTGCCATGATGTAAAAACGAGCGTTCTTGCTCATTTTTCTTCCGAGAAACATGCAAAACGGGACGGAAAACATGAAATTTGCAATAATCTTACGCCACCCTTGCACAAAACGACGATAATTTTTCTAATTTCATAGACAACAGAAGACTGTATTTTTCTACATGACCCCCCTTGAATTTAAAGCTGGATCCGCCCCTGATGCGTTGCGGAAAGGAAAAACAATTAACTTGGGTACTCCCCTAAAATAGTTTGTTACTTTTGCGCCTTCACCAACCTGTCCAAAATGGCGGAGGAAATCTAATTAATTTTTCTCGAAAGATGTTCAATACGCTTATGTAGAGCGTTTGAGTCCATTGTAACAGTTGTCTTCGTCTATGCATTATAAGACCGATATCGTAACCGTTCAAAAATGATTGAGTTGACAAGGGGATAAACAGCCAACAAAAATATGTTTACAATAACAGAGCCGCGAAATTCTTCACAAGTTCTTGCTCGCGTTGAATGTCAAGGATTTATACAGAACATTCTGGGAAAAGCAAAAAAACAAACCTTCAAGCAATGTGCAGTCCATAGACCAAGACTTATCGTGCAGCCTTCAGAGAGGAATAGTCAGAGTAGTACAAGACTTGCCTCTGCAGTCTCAGTCTTTATCTATTACATAATAGAGTAGCCTGCGATCTGATCTATGGTAACGTGGACGTAAAGTAAGGTTACGCGATGGGTCATGGTAAATAGTAAACAAGCTAATCTGTTCTGGAACAGTTCCAGATTTCATTGTTTGTGAAGTGATTTTGTTGTATGTACCGAGTGTAAAACGTGGGGACTGAACGGAGCTGAAGTGAAAATGTTTGAAGAAGTGTTGGCGGTGTTAAAGCGAGTGGACGCGGTATGTTTGGATGTGGATTCCACCGTTATCCGAGAAGAAGGAATCGATGAACTGGCCAAATTCTGTGGGAAAGGCGACGAAGTGGCCGCGCTAACCGCCCAGGCAATGAGTGGCGCGATGTCGTTTGAACAAGCCCTACATTGGAGGTTGAACATCATTCGGCCGTCAGTCACACAAGTGAAGGACTTTATAAAAACGTCGCCGCTCACATTAACCCCGGGCGTCAAAAGTTTTGTGGATCTGTTACACAACCGAATAATCCCAGTTTTTCTGGTATCGGGCGGCTTTTCCTCCATAATAGCCCCAATCGCCGAACAGCTCAAAATCCCAATGACGCAAGTCGCTGCCAACAGGCTCATGTTCTCCTTAGACGGCGAGTATGCGGGATTTGATGAAAGCCAACCGACTTCTCGCAGTGGAGGAAAGGGGGTTTTTATCGAGCAATTGAAGGAAACGTGTGGATTCAAGCACCTGGTGCTGATTGGGGATGGAATGACCGATGTGGAAGCTTGCCCGCCTGCTGATGCCTTCATAGGATATGGGGGCAACATTATCAGGCCGGAGGTCCGAGCGAAAGCCAAGTGGTTCGTCACAGACTTTAACGAAATCAGCAATGTGCTGATCAATCCTTAGACTATTTAGTTTTATCAACAATTGCCTTTTATACCTATGAGAAATACATTTGGTACTATTTTCGTACCAATATTTTTGTACGATGTTGCGTTTTGACTTACCCAACAGTCTCTTAAATTACATCTAATTTCAATTCCACCTTTTAAAGTTATTTACACGTTGTTTAGCTTCGAAGAGCGTCACAGCAATTTTAGCTAAAACTGCGTCAAAAGTGACATCTAACCTCAAAGCTTCCCATTCGTCAACACTTATCGCATGATTCAAGTTCAAATTTTTTATTTAATCAATAAGGACGGCGTTTTGGGTGATAGAAGATAGCAGGTATTATTCAGCACTACACATATGTAGGTACACGTGAGAGGTACAGTAATCTCCCTCCAAGAAATTTGAACATCCATAAGTATTTCAGCTTGAAAATGGACAATCATCCGAACATTCTCCATGGGGCCCCCTTGGAAAGGCTCCTAGAGACGTCCCTAGGAGAATTGCTCCTGATGGTGCTCAAAGTCTATGAGGACAATATTCTACTGGTATGTTTTCAATTAAGGTTTCATAAGCAATTGACGCCAATTAAGGCTTTTGCTGATAACTAAACGATTATCGCGTCTGAACTGACTTGAATTCTGCGCCGCTTTTTTTGCAAACATGTTGAGAATCGTGATCTACTAATTATTCTCCTACTAACCCAAAGCTGTTCTGTTATTGAAATAACCGATAAATCTATTTAATCCTATGCTAACAGTAAAACTGCTGCAAAAGACTGTTTTTCTCGGTTACAATTATGCACGGTGATAGCATTTGTTTTTATGTTAAATCAGTCGCAGAGGTCAATGTTCAATTGGCAAATAAACCTGACGACAATGAGATTTTGCAAATCGAACTTTGCCATGTTCTAATTGATTAGTGGACATTATCTTGAACAGCTTCTAGGGATTAGACGCCGAAACATGTGCCTGTGGACACTGTTTCAATTTAGCCTTTCTTAGTTAATTTATCGATTTCAAAAAGTAATTTCCTAAGTAAAAAGCGTTGGAAAAAGCACACTTTTCCTATCCTTGAGTAGATCACGCGCTATCTTAATGCAGGGGCGCTGCGTTCCAGATTTAAAGTCGGGGGGGGGTTATGTAGAAAAAATACAGTCTTCTCTTATCTATGAAATTAGAAAAATGATCGTCGTTTTGTGCAAGGGTGGCGCAAGATTATTGCAAAATTTCATGTTTTCCGTCCCGT